CTTGCACCAATCGCAACCTAGAACTCCAGCATCATTCCAAAGACAAACTCTTGACATATCGTTATCCCACGTTTGACAGTCGTTCGACGACGTCATCGTCAGCCAGTAGTGTCACCCTCATCCTTTCCTCTTCGTTCCTTCGTATGCAGCCGTACCGACGACATCGCTACCTGTCAACGACCTCCCCAGCGATACACCTCCAGTCCCTACTTCTTCGCTGATCTCGCAAAAAAACGGAGACCCTGGCTGCGAAAAAAATGGAACCAGAATTCGCTTGCCAGCGCTTGGGTTCCGTTCATCTGCTATACAACGATATTGTTCGCGGAGCCATGCCGACGACATCTCTCATAGAGATGGAAACAGCTTAAATCGTCAAACGTACTGCCACCTCACAATAGGAATCCTTCGCGGCTCTCTCACAGTCCCACGCAACTCATTTCTCACGCTGGCAGAGCCACAGCTCTTACAATTTCCTTTTGAACTTTTCCTTGCGCAACTTCGTCGTTCTTCGATATTACGAAAACAGAACAATCTATGCTTGATGGGAATCTTTTGGGTGAGTTCGCAGCAGGATTGGCAACTGCGTAGGGGATATGAACACAGATCGACAACACGCGGCAGAATCCTGAGGGTGTTACTGGATTTCTGTTTACTCGAGGCGAGCACTCCGCAGCTTCTCCAATAAACTACACCATCACGATATACCTCGCACCCATGCTGATCCTGAAGGACGTCATTCTATCTCAAATGTACAACTATCTACTGTCCTTCTCCTGTTAGGCCCGTTCTAGGGTGTCTTCAGCAGCGTACCCTCTGGCGCCCCTCGCGAGAACCGAGGTGACCTCCGGTCGCAGCTCTACGCATTTCTTCATCACACCTCACACTACCAAGGTCCCAGCCTCAGGCCGCTCTGTCCATCTAGGATGAGAAACTACACACAACGTCGCGAAGGTTCAACGTACCGCTAATTGGGAAAGTGCCCAAGCACCCCTGCCTGCGAGGCTCACAGTCTTTCATTCATCTCTCTACCCCAGCGCAGCGCCCCGGGCGGAAGGTTCGTCCCCCGCGTCCGCCCTACCCGAACACGCCCCTATCCTCGTGGCCATCGCTCACTGGAACCCGATGTTCCCTATATACAACACTAGCGAATCCGCTCAACTAATCGTTCATTTAAGCTCGACCCCGTCATTGCTATCATAAAAAGAAAGAGGAAATGTTCAATCGAACACAGAGCTTTTCGACCGACTCTACGAGTTCAACCCACCGGTGAAGCAACTCACCATCAACCATAAAGAGTTCGTAACGACCGAGGGAAAATACTGAATGAAGCATGCTTGCCGAGACAAGGCGCAAGTGTTTTGCATTTCTGATGACACTGTTGCGATCTTAATCACAAATTACAGCATGTCAAGAAACACCATATCCTGGGGATCAGTAAAAGTAAAAGCGTGAGGAACAGTCACCAAAACGCGCTACGGATTGTCGAAAATCCCAAAACTACGTCTCCATTGAACTCAAAAGAAGAGTTTAAGATCACTAGCAGATGCAGTATCGACAACAAATCAAAATACTGCAACGATTTCCACGCACTGCATCAGAGGAGGAGTTCCAGTGAAAAGCAGCTTCCACAACGACATAACCGAGATATGCATGGGCCAATACTGCGTTTTTCTTCAGCAAGTTACTTTGCAAGAGGTACTGTTCACAAACTCCAAGCACTCATAGAACACGGGACAGTGGGGAAATCAGCGAAGAACTCGAAATCTCCTGCAAAGCGCACCTAATATGTGGAACATTACATTGTTTCTTCTGCTGAGAACATATGCAACTATGCAATACTCCGGTAGACCACCCTTCAGATAAAAACTACAGTACTTCTTACCTTCATTGCTCTCTTTCTTTCCCATCGCTCTACTTCCTTATGAAAGTCGCACTGCCACTCTCTATCAGGCTTCTGTTCTTCATCACCGCAAAAATGGATCCTGTAAGATTTCTTCAGATCACCTCGGATCCAACGGAACCAGCTTCGCGCATGCGTCAGCCGCAGCAGACAGAACCACAGTTGAGAGTTGCAGTGAGAGAGAGAGTTGCAAATATCTCGCGAGTCTCATCACAATTTCACTTAAACTTCATTTCGCTAAAGAGTGCTGAGATGTTTCAACACTACCGCTCACGCGACGGTATGCCTGCCCACTGGAGACGCCGAAACGTGCACTTTCAGTGAAGCTACCCTCATCATCCTGCAACTTCTTCAACAGGAAAGCTGCTTTGCTTCCAAGGATAAACTCAGCGTTTCTATTGGCATCATCTCCAACAAAGTGAATGGAGTTGACTTTCAATGTCAGGAATCTTCTTTATCGCGACCATGACCTGCTTTCTAAGTCAGTTCATTGCTGTCACCGTGCCGATAGCTGTGAGCTAAATGCTTGTTATTACACAGCATCATCGGTCAAAATAATAGAATTCTTAAACAATCCGAACAATAGACCAGGATATACATTTTGCTTTTGGAGCTGCGAAGCCTGTCTTGCGATGAATGCTTCTCCTGCACTCCATTGATTGGTTTTTGTTTATTTCTCTGATTTTACGCTGTGCCAACAATCTACACCGTTATCTCCTATCGTTTCTACGTGTCCAAGCTGGGAAATCGTCATCAACGTCAGCAATGTACTATCTCAACAAGGTTCAACATCAACTGCCTCTCTACAACTCCTACCGCGACGCAGTCATCCTGCAACAACATTCGTCTCCGTCTCGTCGGTACCATCATCCCTCAATTACCGATATTACAGTCAACCTTCATGAAAAATAAAACCGACATTTTAATAGTGAAACCAGTTCATGAGGAAAGCTCGAATCTCGAATGGAGGGCAACTACAATGTTCCACAAGGAGAGCGGCTTAGCAATTTGAATGTATCTACTCGAGTAGCGCGTGCACATATAAGGCCTCCAAAAAGTGTCTTGTAATTCGCTTCGTCCTTCCAGGAGCATATAAGGCCATTTTCAAGACCGTAAGTCGGCTGATGACAATTACATGACCTCGCTTTCTGTTGAGTCTTTCGGATTACGAATAAGGCTGAAATTGTCCACTTGTCATCTCCCTTGAGAAACAAAATCAAGATATAGTTATCGTGCTAACTTCAAGTTAGGCTTGGAATCTTTTTTATTGGTGTTTGATTTCGTTTCGTTTTTCTCCTCTATATTATCTTCATCTTAGGACTGACATTGTAAAGCTGTTCCCCTTATGTTGCCCCCCCCCTTTTTTTTTCTTTTTTTTTCCCGCTTGCCTGTTGTATTTTGCGCAATGAGTTAGTTGGCGCCTAGCGACAGTTGGAACTAAGATCGTCATCCTTGCACTTGATAGTCAATGTCAGTGCGGCTGCGTGCGGCGCGGTCGCCCGCACCCGTACTGCACCAATCGTTGAACCAGGAAGTGACATTACTGTATTATATCCTTCGTGTTACTCGTTTTCTATCACTTTTTGTCGCATACGCGTTTCAACGAAAAGGCTGAGAAGGCTTCAAACAGTGTGCACGCTCCTTCTCGCCGACACGCCCCTATCAAGTGCAAGGATGACGCTGTACTTACGATGGTATCCGGAGTTCGTGTTGAAGCTGGTCCGAACTTGCAGTGTGGCGGCCACTGCCCTTCTGAGCTATCTATCGTCTGCCACTCCCAGAAGGCTCCCCCCTCTTTGTTCTTCTCTCCAATCCCATTGTCAGTTTGTTTATTGGAAATATTGGTTCGCAACACGTTACTATTTTTGAGTTGGCATTGTTTGTACCGATAATAAATCAAATCAAATCAAATTGCAGCCGAATAGATATGGAAACCCTCATGCAAGCATCTCCGCTACAGCGGTCGGCGAAAGACTTCATACTCACTTCACAGCGCCTTATCAGCAAAACCACGTCGGCGGCGCAATCTAACTTCATCTTGTCAAGGAAAATCTGAAAGCTCATTACGCTCCTGCGAAGTTGAGAAACGAGCGACATAATTCTTGCGTCACAGGCCCAGCGGCGGCGAACTGCAACAAGGTCATGCCGCAAGCTCTTCGTGATGGAAATGGACCGCCAGCAGTATCTGCACGAGAAACGAGAGCCTATTGAACTGAAAACAACTCACTTCAGTTTACTCAAACCTCATTACCGTAACAGCAGAAGCATCACTTGTCGCTTGGAGGGCAACCAGTTATCACTGGCAAGAACCGATTCAGCTCGTCAACGACGGTCAAAAAATGCTTTAAGGATCACAAGTCATTGCTAGGAAAATACTAAAGTTAGGACTATGGTGAAGGCACTTCACAGACATCTCGTTTTTTGAACCATGAAACGAAAAATACCAAGAGTTTAAGCTTTGCGACAAACGTGTGAGATGTCGTTTACCACACCGTTCAGTAGATGCTATGGAAAAGTGAGAAGGAAATTTGAAATAAGGTCTGGAAAGAGGTACAGTTGATATCACTTTAGTTAGCCAGGTCGCAGTCAGTCAGTTCCCTTTTGCGGCTTTTCCACCACTAATTGTTTCCTTCCTGAATTGACCATACTCGATCACCGTGTGGAGCAAAGTTCAGCCGTGGGCGGATATCCCGCCGATGAATTTTACCATTGCTTAGAAGTAGGCCTATATGGTGATAAGTATCAGCAGCTGACCACTTCCACCTAGCGACCTCCCTCAGTGATATTTGACCCGTACAGAAAGGATTCACTGAATTGAAGGGGCATATGTTGCCACTGCTCTTCCTAAGGCAAATACAAAAAAACAAAATTCATGGATAAAATCCGGAAGATGAAAACCTAATTTTAATCACGATGTTACCATTTTCACTGAAGGTAAATCTGTGAACAGACATATTCATTCGTTCAAGGAGATCGTAAATGTTTTTTTTTAGCAGTGATCGCGAGTAACAATTGGCCAAACTAATGACTGATGAGATCGACAGTAACGAAAATCGCAAAGGTTGAAGCAATGTTGTTTTTCACTTGAAGTGGCCTGTCGTCAGTACTCATCTCGGATAAATGTGTAGTACTTCACACTGTTGCATAGCACTAATGAGATTGCCATTCCGATCACCTACAAAGAGAAATTAAACTGAATATTCAGTATCATGTACTCGAATTATTGGCCAACAAAATTAAGTCTTTTACATGAGGACTAGTCACAAAAGTACCAGACTGGGAGAGGATGATTCCAGCTCTCCACGAATTTGGTGGAACGGGCAACAAAAATATGAGCTACTTAATGTTCGAAAAAGAAATGGCCAATTCGGAATGTGGTCAAAGATTCAGCGGGCATAGGTTATGTACGCATCAGTATGCTTCGCTTGTGTTGTGACCAAAATACAAACGTCAGCAAATTCAGACGAGTTATACACTTCACCTTCCGTGAGATACCTGGTCTTGAACTATTATGGCGTAGAAGGTCGCAGCTGAGTAGCGTGCCATTTTCCTCCGGTCAACTATACACGGGAGCGCTGCTGTAGGCTACTGATACCCGAGTACCGTCTCCATACTCCGTCCGCGACGCCACACGCCTAACCATACCGAACGCTCCTTGAGGATAGCGTGAGCGGACTCGGGTAGCACTACCCTACATCCACGTTCGCGTGCATTTTCAAACGGACAAAGTGCACGCTACTGTAGCTGCAGATTATTCTCCTCGCACATGGCAAGGTTTGCCCTCGGAACACGTACAATTTGTCTTTAAATGCGAATTGGCTTGCGCAATGATCACGCTGTCTTCCCTATGGACTCTTTCTAGACATGAGGCTTGGGCGAACCTCATTTGTTCCACTACAGTAATCCCAATTTTGCATAAGGGGTCCTCCCAATGCCTCGTAGAGTACTAGCTCCTATTAATAGTTGTAATAATCGTTGGCAATCGTACCATGAGAGCAGCGAAACTGAAACCAACTCCAGAAAAGATGAACGTCTGTTCGTCCACCCATCTAAGCAGCTTCTCGTGACATCCCTGAAATTGCAGATCCTTAGAAAATAGCTTGCCAGAGAGCCGATACTTTAAGAGAGCTTTGTGTGATTTCATCCCCATATTTTTCCATGGACTAGCCACCCTATCAAGGAAAGGTGAAATGCAGGTTAACCTTTGTCAGTGGGTATCTACTACATTTCTAGACATGTTTCAAACAGGGTTAACTCCTGGCGACTCCTAGAGACTAGTTGCATGTACACTAGTTATACCTGAAGTAGTGAACAAACTAACGAAAGAGTACCAAGGGTAAGGTAAAAGCAGAGGTAAAAAAGCCTTGAAAAGTATTATGGGAAGGCTAGGACTTGCACAGTCATCAGAAATTGCATTAATCACCCCTGAGGGTTGTCTGCCCTGCTCCCAGGGTACAGCATCGTTGCGTGGAAGACATGGACGGTCGCACCGCTGGCGAGAGGGGGGGTCGTATTTGGTCATTGTCGGGATAGGAGGTCGATGTGCCTTCGAAAGAGATTTGCCGCGTTGGGAAAAAATTTTCCCCGGTTGTTGTTTTGCGGTTTTTCTCTTCCTCATTGGCTCTATACCACTCCCTGCTCGACGGAGAATTTTTAGGTGAAAACTGGTAGGAAGCTGGGAACTTGTAGGAAAGTGGTGGGTAGGTGTTGGGGAAGGGGGAGGTCGTAGCGAGGCCCTCCTTCGTAGTGGGTGGTCTTAGTGACACCATCA